AGCTTTTAGGAGCATCAGATGCAGGTCTCACGGACGCCTGCCTGTTTCCCCGGGCAGCGTCCCCACGTTGTAGACCGTGCCTCCTTAGTGGAGACTTGCAATGGCAGCGGGCGCAGATGCGCACTCAAGAAAAGCTTTTAGGAGCATCAGATGCAGGTCTCACGGACGCCTGCCTGTTTCCCCGGGCAGCGTCTCCACGTTGTAGACCGTGCCTCCTTAGTGGAGACTTGCAATGGCAGCGGGCGCAGATGCGCACTCAAGAACAGAACCCCCGAAATCCTGTGCGGTCTGGCGCGGCGGGATGGGTCCCACCGGTCCCCAGGAGCCCACCACCAAGGATGAGCGCGCGGTCCCAAGAGCAGAGCTTCTGGCGTCAATCAGAAAGGGGGACAGGAGAAAGGGGCTGGGGCGGCGTCCTGGAGGCAAAGGCTTGGGAAGTAAAATATGTGGTTCTGGGTTGGGTCTGAAGTTCTCTCGCCTTTGCAGGTCCACATGGTGGTCCAGCACGTAGTGGAGTTTCAGAGCCTTCCTTTGGAAACACTCAGCTTTCTACTCACCCTGCTGGCCACCACTGTAACCCCAGTGTTTGTCTTGTCCAAGCGCTGGACCCACCTGCCTTGTGGCTGCATCATCAACTGCAGGCAGGACTCACACGCAGTGGCATCCGATGGGAAGAAAAGTAAGTCCTCAACACTGGCGGTCGGGAGCAATATACACACAGTCAAACACGTGTAGTGGCCTACTGAGAAAGTCGCCTGAATAGGGGATGAAGAATCCGAGGACAAACGTAAATGGTAAATAGAAGAAGAAATCATAAAGTGAAACAATTCTTACCACGGTGCTGGAGGAAGTTTTAAATGAGGCAGATTTTAAGCCCGTGAAGTATTTGTGCACTGCATAATTATTTTAGGTAAGAAAGGAGGTGACTAGAATTCATTCAACACAGCATGCCAACAAAGGCCCATGGATGTTATACCCAACATAGATCTTAGCCAAGAAGAGAAAATAAATTCCCTTCCCAAGTCTATGTATGAAAAGCGGTATTGCTATCTTAAAGAGATCATTAACTCTCTGAAAAGAGTTAAAAACTTGTTACATTATAGCCCATTATTATTCAATGAAACAATAAAGAAAAGCATTTTTATTATTTTGCTGTTTGCAATCTTCCAGGGTTTTGGAAAGTTTTCAGAGTAAGTCAATCAGTGTGCCTGAAAACAGTTCGAAAACAAATTTTAAGAGTACACCTCTGCTTTTAGAAACACACACACACACACACACACACACACACACACACACACACACACACACCAGGCAAAAAATTCATCAGTTTCAAGAAAGGACAAAGGTGACAGAGTTTGTCATTGTATGTTTACGTATGAGACTAGTCATGCTATTTACTGGAGAAAACAAAAAATCTATCTTCTAAAGAGTACATCTAGAATGGGAGTGGAGAAGCAGGGTCAATTACAAAACTCTCTACAGTGTAATTGAGCTCTATTTTGACTTTGCCAGGAAGGAAAAGGACATTATTTTGTCATTCCAGACAAAAGACAGGATATTCTACCATTTAAAAAATCTGAATGAATTAGTGTATGCTGAATTAACTGTCCCATTAATTCTCCTTTGCTTTGAATAGGCAAGTATATTATTCTTTAAAAGAAAAGAAAGGTTAAATAAAAACGGTCCATCTCAGATCATTTTAGGGTTGTAAAAACTGAAGAATCTCAAAGTATATTCTCCAATCAAGTTAACAGGGTTATTTTATAAATATTAATTAGTCATGAACTGGCCGTTCTTCATGTATTGATGACATTTAAAATTTAGAATGTCTAGATATTTTTCAAATGACCAGAAGAAATTTTTATTAAGCATGACATCAAGTTTTATTGTTAATAATTGCCCAGTACATCCAAGTCATTAAAATAATGATAGAACTTATACTAATAATGTGCTTCTGGAGATTAACAGAGCAATGGTAACCTTTATGGACCACTTATAAAAACATGCAGCATATAAGAAATTATGTATAAAACTAAAGGCTCTAACAGTCTGACAAATGTTAAGATTTTGCCGCTAAATTAGTGAATCGTCCCTGTCTTATAATATTTAAGATTGTGAGAGAGATGAGTCTAGTGCTAGTGAAAAAGAAAAGTCTTAGTGAAGTGGTTTAGGGCAGTCATTTTTAAGAAGTGAGGACACCCACAACAGAGTGAAAACAAAGCAATGCAATACACCTATTACAACACATAACCTAGGAAATATTCTGTCTTCTGAACTGCACAGGGTAGAAGACTCAGGCTAGCAGGGTGAATTATTACATTAGTGTCACATGTCTGAAATTAAAAACATGTCTTTCAAGATCAAAACAATATTTTTATTTCAAAATTACCATGGATTTTATTTTTATTTATTTTGAAATTTCAAAGAAGTACTTGAAATATGAAGGCTTATAAAAAGAGGCATGGCTTCTAAAATAAAACATTATGAGAAACGTTAGTTTAGGATGTTTGTAGTTCAAATGGCTCCATTCCCTCTAATAATCGAGGATATGCAATAGGGAAATTCAGAGAATGACGATGTGTTTTTGCTGTCTGAGGAATCACTATAAATTTTTCCTATTGCTAGAATGATACAACAACAAAATTTGAAACCCCAAAGGTGACTCACCCTCAGGTGGGCCAGGTGCCTGATCAGCTACGGTATTTTAATTCTTTGGGAGTATGGCTCTAGTATTATGTTTAAACTTTCTTTCCTTAACAAACTAAGATCTCCTCTCTTTACATTTTTTACCTGTGAACTCCAGAAGCAAGGAAGAAAGAATACTTTTTTTTCTAGCTCATATTTACCATTGGTTATATTTGCAGATGTAAATAAAATTCTACATCTCAACCTTACTGAATGGGAGCTAACAGATGTGCAAACAGAAAATGAATGTCAGCACTGGAAAATAATTTACAGAAATTATAATTTTCTCCTGTTTTCAATAATAATCTGCAATACTAGTGTCTCAAAAGTAAATCAGTTGGGGTTTTTTTAGATGATTTTAACACAGAGGTCTCAGGTGGTAGACATATGGGTTGGATACGGCTTTCAGACTCATTTTGTTTGTCTGACATGATGTTTTCTATTTTTTAATTAAACAGTAAAAATTAAATGATTTTCAGCTTTTACTTTTTGACAAAATCAGAGTATCTGGTAAGTGACATATTATCTGAAGAATTATTCATTTTCATAAGCTGATGTAATTATTTACCTTCAAAATTGTAATTGGCGGGATATGATTAAAAGCAAAGGACTAGAGATAATTTATGTTTTATCTATGATTTTAGGACAGTGTAACTCTTGCTTTTCGGAACAAATACAACATTATATTTATTTTTCAGAAGTGTAGTGTAGATTTTTAAAGATCCTGGACTATACTCTGGAGGTCTTTAAGTTTCTTTTAATTGTTAATCAGTGAAAGAGCTCTGACTTCATGAAAAAAGTTCTAAAAACAACACAGCTATGTTTTTTCAGTAGCATAAAAGTAGGAGCTGGGAACTCCAAAACTTTCAAGACCTTCTTTAGATAATTAAATTATTTTTAAAGGTGTCATTTCTTTTGTAATCATCTTCCATTCAGCTAGCATCACTGAGTCAAGGCTATCCTGACACAAACCCTCCCTATCACACCAGGCATTATTCCTACATGTTGCTTCACTCATTCACTCATTCACTCATTCAACAAATATTTATTAGGAAAGTGGTCACTATGTGTCTGGCACTGTGTTGCATGTTTAATAAGGAGCAGAAGTTCCCAAATCATGGCTCTTGAGCTGAATTTGGCTCTAAGGTGCGTTTTTTTTTTTTTTAACAAAACAAACAATTTTTATACTTACTTTTAACCAGTTTTAGTTATAGGCTCAAAGTTCAAGATCAGGGTATTTTATATCAAAATCTGTGAATCTGGTTTGTCTGAAAAATCAGAATAGCTGACAACACAACCTCTGCATCCCTCACCACAATTGGCTGCAGCTGAGGAGGCTGCTTTAAATAGAGGGGATCTTTCCCATTTGTTATAATATATGTCTAGCCCTTATTAATTACTAATACTACTTAACTGGTCCCCATAGACATTTGAGTTTTTCTACCTTTGATTAATTTTTTTTTAAAAAAAGACATCGCCTTCACCCTCAAGGAACTAAAAAACAATCAGTTCAGTTTGACTTTGATTCTAACATTTCTTTCAACATAGTTTTGATTGTTAACTATATTATTTTTATGTATTTTTATAGGGATTTCCCCCTTTACAACCAGCCTCTAGTCAAACAATGTCAACTCTTTGATATTGCTATAATCTATTACCTCAGGTTAAGTATCCCAGGTATTAAGAGTTACCTCAGTCAGAATACAACTTTAGTGTTAAGAAAAGCCACTAACAAGAAATGTTTTCATTAGTTACACTTCATAATTAATGTACTTTCTCTAACTTAAAAACAGGTCATTCTGCTTCCATTAATACATTTCTCTCATGGGTCTGATTAGAGTAAAGCAATTTCATGTAGAGGCTGATAACTGCAATTCCGGAAAAATCTTTAAATTCAAATCATTTCACCAGGTAAGTAATACTGAATAGGTTTCCTCCATCAGCCTCAGTTTTCTCGACTGTAAAGTAAGACCAATAAGGTTTTTATTTTGTAGGGTTATTGGTATGTTAAATCATGTAATTTATGTGCATAACTTGGCCTTGGAATGCTTCATCACATCATGATCTCCAATGCAATCCTGCTTTCTTCTCATAACCTACCTCCGACTGCCTCTTGTAACTCAGGACATGGAGGCAGCCTGGTTCTTCACTGACACATTCTGCACACCCCTTCAAAAATGTTAGTCATTTTTGCTTTATATATTTCATAGTTATAATATACAACTAATAAAATATATAGTGACGGACATCAATTTTATCAAGTGTTATATCCTACCTTGGGATTTTACCACGTTTTTTTTTTAATGGCCCTGCATTGACAATTTGTCACTTTACATCTTTTTTGTAGAAAAAGGAAATCCATCAATAGTTAAAACAACATTTTAGTTCCTTCACCTTTTACACTGTTAAAATAACTTTAAAAATTCTAATTTAATTTTATTGAACTATATTACTAAAAAAAATAAGTAGAAATATAAATTAGACAGTACATATAATGTTAATATCTGTTTCTACTTTTACATTTCCTTTGAGTAGAAGTTTCTCTCATTTGTGTTCTGGATCAAACAACAATGAATGGTACCGATAATTCTATTTGTCAGTCAGCAGAATTTGTTTGTACAATTATGTAAATATTATATAATTTTTATATATTAAGAATGAAATTATATCAAGGTCGTAGACAAAATGCAGTGTAACCTTTTAATTTTGATCTCTC